TCAAAGATATCTGACTATTTATTTTCTATCTTCTGATGAGATTCTAAGAAATTATCACATTCAGATTGATTATATTATCAATATTTTGTAATGTCTTATTGATACAAAACTTTAATATGGATACAAATTGAGTGAAAAAAATAATCAACGAAAAAGGCGTGAGATGTTTTTCCAGATATACATATATATTGGTCTAGGCAAAGTATGACAAGTTATTCACAAGGGAATTTAAAAAAATTCCACGAAGTAGGAACCCAACTGAGTGAGAGATCATAATATGTTCTTCTCTCTTCCGCAAGGAACCGAGGGAAAAATCAATACTCGCAACCCGTTGTTATTGTTGCGGATTGCGGATTCCCCATATCCGTCCGTGGGATTCACCGACGTAGCAAACATTTTTTTATCGGAACCGGTCGGGCGGGTCGGGTCTCATCGTAGAAGACAAGGATAAACAAAAATTTCTGGAGCGATAGCACGCGGTGAGATGGAATCTGTAATTCTGTACAAAAGTGTAGTAATCTGTACAATTAGTTCAGACATGTTCTGTGTGCCTAGTGGAGTCGCTACCTCACAGTGGCTAAACGATAGACGAGGGGATGAGCGGGGCATCGACTCGCAAATAACACAGGTTGGGCATCTTCCCACTTTGGAGAGAACACAGTAGTAACGCAGTCAAACAGGTTGATTTTCTTTCTAACGAAAAGAATAAATCCAGACAAATTACATTCCTCACAACTATCCTTGACAGCCATGGTGTCGAAAGAGAACAAGCATCCAGTGATACTGATATACATTGATCGTCATAACAGCACTCTTGAAATCCTTCACTTGTGACACAGTAGCAATAGTCGTTGAAGATGAAGATCTTATTATTCTCCTCATGGCCTTAACTCCGACTGAACAAAACATATTATTCGTGGAACCAAGCCATGGCAAAGTAGGAAGGAAAGTATATTCAAGTCAGCAGTTGCAAACTTTGGGAATGACGGACCGCATACTTTTTGTGCATGCGTTCAGCGGATGCGATACGACTTCGACTGCATATCGAAAAGGGAAACTTTCCTGTTTCAAATTGTTCAAGAAGCAAGCTGTACTGCAAGGTATTGCTGATATACTCAACAGCTCAATTTCATCCCGTGAGGCTGTAGCTGCTGCTGGAAACAAAATATTCTTGGTATTGTAATATGCCCCCAAGAAGCGAACGTCTCTTAACATGCATCGCTACAATGTTTTCACCAAATCTGTATCCAATATTGACTCGACCTTTCTGTTCTGCCGCCCACAGAGGGAGCAGCAAGGCAGCACACGCATTTCGAGTATACCACCAAATTCACTTTTGGCTTGAGAATGAACTAATCCTCCTGCCCTTGATCTCCTGCACAGTGGGGTTGGAAGTTGGAAAGCGATCGGCTGATCCCTGTGACAACAGAGATTCCAGCAGCACCTGAAGCTGTCCTTAACTCCATTTGTTGCAAATGTACAAGTGGATGTGGGAACAAATGTGATTGTCGAAAGTCAGGAATAATGTGAACAAGCATTTGTCACAACTGCCATTCGGGGAGGATTTAATCCAATGTTCTGCGTGGCATATAGCCAGGAAATTAGTTGTTTCACTCTTGTTATCTACCATTTTCTTTTATTTTATGAAGTATCGTTCATCTCATTTTGTAAAAAAATATATTGTTATCTCAAAAGCAAATTATATCGATCCAAGATGATGTCGATGTCGATTCAACTATATACATTTTGTTGATGATCATTTTCATGAGAATACATCTCATCTCATACATGTTACCGTGAAAATCCGAAAGCCGGTGATTGTCAGGATATACCAGTGAATGTCAACATTCACCAAGTCACTTGGAGAATGTCCGATATATTCATCAAATATCATTATTTCTAACTTCCACCGGCGAATGTCAACGTTCATCGTATACCCATGGTGTATGTTCGAAAGAATTTTTTATCGAAAGAAAACAAAATGGTACTCTATAGGTCATTATTTATTTTGATTAAATTATGGAAGACGTTTTCAAATTACCATAAAGGAGTTGTTGAACTTAAGACAAACACAACAAACATAATATTTATATAAAAATAAAATGCGTTTTATTCCTTGAACTAAAATGTAAAGAACAAGGTGAATGTGTGGCAACCTTATTTATTGTAACAACTCAAGCTACCATGACACTTTGAATTACACAAAAGGCTCTTGTTTTTACAGCTACATTCAGACGTGGAACACTTCTTTTTGCAGTTACAGCGTGTATAGCCTTGCCCTCCGCTTTTTGAATTAGCAGAAGCTTCTTCTCTTACCGAAATTTGTTGGGCTGAAATTTCATCCATGAAAATTAACTTCTCTTTGCAAATTGCAAATTGATCACGGGTGCAAAGCTGCTTCAAGGTGCCATTTTTGTTGACTATTTACTGCAGTAGCCATCGAGTACAAATTATAATACCACTATCAATCAAACCTTGTGTAAGACTGGCGACTTGGCGACAAGCTCACACGAAAGCGAAGGGAAGCGAAGAAACCACACAAAAAACTGTTAGGACCTGTCGTTTCTGAGATTTCCCAAAGCTCATATGTGTTTGTCGACATATACCGGTGAAGGACCGAATTTATATTAAAACTAATAATAATTGTTCGGTCTTCCACCAATACCTTTGGTGTGTGTCGAAATCAACCGGTATAATTCAACAATCACTAATTTCGGCCTTTCACGGTAACATACATACAAGTTTTTTTATTAGAATGTAGCAATGAACTCATTTTGGACGGATCATTTTCTTTAATAGAGCTACAAAATATTTTATTTTAATGAAATATTTCATTCACTCAATATCGAGTTAAATTTTCGTCACCAAATGACGATCTTCTTGCCTCGTCTATGATTCTTCGTGTTTGATAAATTGACCCGAAGAAGCCTAGAAGTGAAGACTGGCGATTTATGCAAAAAGTTGATTCGTTTTCTAGTTTAGTTATTTAATTGATGTGGATTTTCAGAAAATTCCCAAATCAATACTGAATCTGCTTCAACAAAACAGTTTGTCCAATGGAATTACATTTTCCCTTGGATCAACGAAATATTTCATTGAACGAACCAAATAAATTTCATTGAATAAACCAAATATTCCAATGAATCAACCAAATATTCCATTGAATCAACCAAGCTCTGCTATGAATTTTTCATGCGCAGATATTGAATCCTGCCTCTTGTTAGGTTTTCTGTACTTGTATGTAACCTCTCAATAAAAGCATTTTTTATTATTATTATTATTATATATTTCATTGAATCAACTAAATATTTGATTCAATGAATAACTTTTTTGAATCGGACAAAATGATTGTTTGAGCCAATTCAATATATTTTTAAACAATTAATTGATGTGCTTGATTGAATAAGATCCAGAGTTCATGCAAAACATATTTACTTGATTCAAACTTCGAATTCGCTCTGAAACAAGATATAGATCAAGATTTCAATATTATATCTTGTCGTGCATATATGACACTTTTATTTGCATGATTCAACGATTCCTTTTTTGTTTTCGTGTAAATAATGATTGACTCGGAGAAGGTGAGTTATAAAGAAGAACTTATTTTTTGTTTGAAATCATAATTTTCTACCAACCCAAGCTAGTGAACGTTCCAAAATTTCCAAATGAATTGAATTGACTATATTTTTGTGAGGCAGAAAATGAAAGAAATTAGGCCAACCCTGTTAATTAGGAATGAGGTGATTATTTTTATATGCAGGTTGAAGTCAGTTTTCCTGCAAAATTCCTAATATGATTTGATGAAAAATCGATCCCTTTTTATTTCATTGAAACAACACTGTCCAAAAGAATTTTCGTCACTTGAGAACTAATCATATTGATGGTTATAATACTGTAGTGATTCACACGAGACCAACGAGACGAGACTTTCATAAAGTCTCTTCTCGTCTCGCCGATGGAATATGAAGTCTTATTGTCTCGAGTCTCGTCTCGCAGCCCCGAGTCTCGTCTTGTCTCGCGTCTCGTACGAGAGTCTCGCAAATGCATCACAATTTCTTCATGCACAATCTTGTTCCAGTCTAGTACGGGATATTTACCTTCACCTACTTCTTAGGTATAAAGTAGAAGAAGGAAGAGAAAATAACAACGAAAATAACATTTTTTATTGAAAAGTAAGTACCTAATAGGTACATACTTACATCATTCATCTAAACAAGAGAAAAAAACATAGGATTATATATTGGAAAGTTATAAAAATAAAATGAAAAGTAACACGTATATTCTAAACAAATGAACATAACAAAAATTTCAATCCAAAATTGTTCCGCCGTAAGAGAGAGCTAGTCCGTTTTAGTTTCACGCAATACGTCGTTTTACAACAATCATGGATTGTAATTTTAAAGTATTTATGAATGAAATGTTTTGTCTTTCTGTGCTAAATAGTCTGAATTCTTTCTAAATATGTTGTATTATGAATGAAATTCTCAAGTCTGCAGTCGGCACGCAGAAATATTTACCCGCGAGACTATCGCACGAGACACGAGAAATCTTGCACGAGACTCGAGACGAGACCAATGAAAGTCTCGTCTGGTCCGAGTCTCGTCTCGAGTCTTGTCTCGAAAACGATACGAGACCATGCGAGACTCTCGAAAACGAGACTCTCTCGGGCACCACTATTATACTGGTGAAAAGTTGGTACGAATCGCACGACTAATAGCTGAGATATGGAGGGGGGTCAGCGAGACACGCTGTACATAGAATATAAAATGCTTAGATTACCTTTTTCTAGTTCGCGTCTGTTTCTGGGGAATTTCAACCCCTTAAACCTCGCCCTCGATGCGCCACTGATCACTAGGCTCATAATCATATAAAATCAACATTTTCACCATCTACTAAAGTGCAGACGCCACGAATATTGTCTACGGATATCTACTCGCATTAGTTTGGCAACACTGTCAACCATCGTTATTTTGAGAATTGGATGCGATATAATGATAGCTGTAGTGTAACGATGAAACATCTAGTCAGTTTACTCTTATTCGTTCTATTGACTGATAAATATGAAGGTGCCAAGATACTGGGCGTTTTTATTCTTTGCGGAAAGAGTCATTATCATTTGGGAAATTCATTGATGCGTGGTTTGGCAGAAGCTGGGAATGACGTCACTATGATCAGCCCCTTCGAAGATAAAGATCCTACAGAAAATGGATCATACAGGAATGTCGTATTGACAGGAATAGCCGATGGATACGAAGGTAATGTTTGAATATGACATCTTCAGAGAATTTATATCGGTTCATAATATTTGGAAGTACAGTATACCGCGTGTGTCAACGAATCTATGAAACAGGTAATAACTTCAAGAACATCAGGTGTATCATAATGAGATTTGGTATGGGAAAACGGTACATAAAAAGGGAAGTTCTTGCATATTTTTTACTCCCCGGTCATTTCCAGTTTCCACTGAAAATAGCTTTCGGTTTTGAGTTTTTAATGGAACTTCCTGTATATTGTAACTTTCTTGAATTTCTGAGACAATTCTGGATCAGATTATATGATCTTATATCTGTTTAATTTTCTTAGGTATCTGGTATCTGACGGTTTTTGGTGTCAGAAATCATGATTATCTCGTCAAAATTTGGAAATTCATGATGAAGGATCCAAGATGGCGAACGTCAAACGTGTTTTGTGATAATGATCAGATGCAAGATGGCGGATCCAATATGGCGGACCAATATTATAATGAATCATGATCCGATTCAATTCAAAATTTGTACCTGGGGCCTTGAGGGATTTAAGATTTTGATTCTCACGTCAAAATTAGGAAATTCAATATGAGTAATCCCATATCGACGAACGAGTTTTCTGATTATCTTTCGATTCTTCTAAAAACTGATATCTGGGAGTTTCCAGGGTCGGAGATTATGATATTTCTGCGTAAAATGTAATAAATATCAGTTTGAAACAATAATGAGACACGTACGTTTCACATATAGATAGCCAAACTAAAATGAAGTAAAAAATAATTAGTAATTTGAAATACTAAGAACACATCATAGGAAATCTATGAAGATATAGAAAATGAAATGATAAAAGTGTTGGGATGAATATATGACTGAGAAAATATTTTCTGAAAATAATGTATATCGCGAAACAACTTTTGCCGGGTCATTTATAGTTCTATTATGAAAATGACTCCTATAGTTCTGATTAATTTCCATGTACCAATAATTTCGGAGATCTTCCATAAATAGTACTGACTCAATTCTGCTAGATAACTACCTGACATTTTGAACTGTCCTAGTTACCTAGTAGGCTGTGCAATAATATCTGGCGACAAAAGAAATGGAGTCATGTGTTTGAACCAAGTTTGAACTTGTTTTCATGGAACTAGGAATATCATATATAAATAATATATCACTCGTTTTCTTGAAAACTTCATCATGCTCAATTATTTCATTTTCTCTGGATATAGTTCTCTCTTTCTTCCTTTCTCAGATGGTTCAGTTCTTTCTGAAGAAAAACGAACTCTTCTTGTCTTTCTCATGACAGTAATAGGAATAGCGAAAGTTCCTACAGGTATGAGAAGAAAACGTTATTTTATCAAGAAATATGAATCGAACAGTCCACCAGTTTCATTCCATTACTTTTGGGATGAATATATTTCTGTCGCAAATCTCGCAAATATAATAAAAAATTCCAATGGTTTCTGGTACCAGTTCAAATTTGGTTGAATCACATAATTAATAACAGATATAAGGAGAACTGAATGGAGGACAGAGTGAGACACACTGTAGGAAAATAAGTTTTCCTCCGATTGGCAGCAGATGTTAATTTTGCTGACACATATCAATCAGCAAAGTATTACTTTTCCTGCCTAGGCAGCAAAGTGGGTACTTTGCTGCCTAGGCAGCAAAGTGGTTACTCTGCTGATTGATATGTATCAGCAAAATTAAAAATCCATAAATCGTTTATAATTTCCTTCATATTTCATCCGAGACTTCTCCGGCAACAAATTCAACTCTATATTTTTTGCCACCTCCCTTATTAATGGAGGTGTAAGTATACTTCCAGGTCGCTATCACTGTCCATTATATAATAATTTGAATATACCAATATTGTTTCGCACAACTGTCAGAAATTTCATGAATTGTCAAACCAACAACTGCGATTTCTATCAAATTTTATTTTAATTGAACACTATACAGGAAGAATAAAGAGATTGTGGGAATTGTATTAATTCGCAAACACAATATTCTCCCATATCATTATGAACAATCGGAGAAAAAATCATATGTTCAACTCGGCAGTCAATCTACTACTTTGCTGCCTAGTTAAACAAATAACTATTCTCTCCAAATGATATTAGAAGTTGCTTTTTGATGACACTTAACAGGCTGAAAATATGTCCTTTCTTTGCATAAGCTGGGAAAGTATTGCCTAGGCAAAGAAAGTTCATTGCTATGCAATATTCCAAGTAATTATTACACGTTGACGGATACTTATGGACATGCCCGTCGTTGTCTGTGTCCTTGGCTGGGACAATCAATATTTTCGACGGATGCAGTCCTTGTATTATTTGTAAGGTATCAACTAGGCTGTCCGTCGATTTTGCACATTGAATGGTGTAAAGTATCCATGTAAAACAAAAAAGGTGTGCATTCAGTGTGCAGCCTGGCAGAAAAATGCAAAGGAAAGTTTTGCTTTATTCTTACATAATTTTTTTGCCTAATATTAGTCCAAATTTCCGTCAACGTGCTAATCAAATTGGTAATCAAAATTGACAATTAGTTCGGGTGAACACAAAATGATGGAATATTTGTAATTTGCGTGAATTTTGGGAAGAATAAGGAGACAAGTTCATCTGTGCCACATGGCAATAAACCTGATTTAATCACTTGTCTGGTTTCCTAGCCTTGGCTACGCTCTGGCTATGAAGCGCCTAGTGAAACAAATAACTATTTTCAATGGAAATATTTCTTTTCAGATCATTTGAAGCGGCTCAACCTCTTCGGTGGGAATGACTTCAATTCGTTTACTCACATAGTCGGATTCCACAAATCTGTTTATAGCCAAGTGAAAAGGGCCTTCGACCATCCTAACGTTCAGAAACTACTGAACTCGAATGAACAATTCGACGCTGTTATAATAGAACAATTCAGCAACGACGCTCTGCAAGTATTACCTCATCATTTCAATGCGCATTTCATCGCTTTCTCGCCAGTAGGGTCATATTATACTGTGAACAATATGGTAGGTAATCCCACGATGACATCATATACTCCTGGTTTCATCACCACTTTCTCTAGAGACATGTCACTGTTCCAACGCATCTATAATACCCTACTGCACCTCAGTCAATGTTTCCTAGAGTATTTCGTTCTCCTGGATAAGTATGAAAAACTGCTAACCGAGTATTTTCCGAGTGCCCCCAGTATATACGATTTGCATTTTAATGCGTCCCTAGTACTCCTCAATTCCCATGAATCTTTGGGGCAGCCAGTACCTCTGGTTCCTAACATGATCAATATTGGAGGTTTTCATGTAAAGCCCCCAAAGGTGCTGCCTGTTGACTTGCAAAGATACCTGGATGAGGCTGAGGATGGAGTTGTTCTCCTAAGTTTCGGTTCAAACTTGAGGATGCATAATATGGATGAGGGAAAGAGAAATGCACTTGTCAATGCTTTGGGCAAACTCAAACAGAGAGTCTTGTGGAAATGGGAGAGCGGGTATGATTTCGAATTGCCTCCTAATATCAAGAGAGTAAATTGGATACCACAAATGGATGTATTGGGTGAGTGAGCAGAAAAATATGTTCTTCTTATGATAAATAAAGCAAACAGACTTATTTTAACGTAATAATCAATGAGAGTCGTGCTTGAAGCAAGTATTGGCCCTATAGATTCACTTCCAGTCAATATTTATCGATCAGTTTATCTATCAACAGACATCGGAAATGGAGAAAATATTCATCTAAACAAGGATTCTTAGAGTATTGAAATCCGTATAGATCATAGAAAATTATTACTCTACCCAATCAATTTTGACTCAGAGGAATACATCTTCCAATGATAAAAATCAGTTGGTGATTAACAAAAATTAAAAGTCTCAGTAGGCGTACAACAATTTCATAGTTGACTTATCTGAAGCATTTGTAGTGAATAATTTCGTCTTTGACTCTGTTGATAAGTTTGATAAATACTAATCAACATTCTCTTCATTAAGTTGATAATTGATATTCCTATATCATCAATAGCTTAGTTTCGTTTCACATTATCCGTATAGTGTATCAGCTATTATAATCTTGTTGAATCTGCATCAACTTATTGTATTTTTAGAATTATTTTATTGATAGACTCACAAGTTCTACTCAAACTTTTATTTCTATTTATCTATATCATTAGATGAATGTTGTGACTGGTGCCTATTTCACTAAACGTTTGGTTATAACTACCGACTATTTTTTTCAGTGTATCAACTCTGATTTTTTTAAAGGAACACCATATATATTTCACGACAGGTCGATATAACCTGTTCTTTAAATTTCGAAAATAAATATGAGTTGCATTTTTGGATGAACATGTCGTGTGATTGAAAAATAATTTGTGAAAAATCTTATCGTTTGTGAAGTTTTACAATAGACGGGTGCCTGGCCGCCGCACGCGTGCACTTCATGAAGAAGAACGCTTTTCTTTTTGTGAAGAATACCTATTTTGGAAACATATGTAAGGCATGCCTCTATTTTGCAAATTCATGAAGTGCATGCCAAATTATCTACAATTAATTGATTATTACAAATCAAATATCGTTCTGATGGCATGCAGTTTGGACGTCGCTGACATACACGATGTTTTTAACCAAAACAAACATGTTTTCAACTAGTCATTTGATTAATCCTTTTCACCATAATAATAGGCGTTTTCGAATGAGTAATTTTTTATATGATTCACCATTTTCTGTTCACGATTAAACGACGTATCAAGTACATGAAAATTATGAATATGTGAATTTCAGAAATTGAAATAAACAATATTTGCATGAAAATATCAACGTTCTGCTGCAACGTTCAATGATCGTTGTAGATCAACACATATTAAAGTGTTGAAAATAAACCGTCTGAATAACGTGTTAATTTCTCGTTTTTTTAACCGAATTCCAACGTTGAAGTTTCCAAGCAGTAACGTTATTTCCACGATGCCAACCGTTATTCAACGTTTAATAAACGAGTACATATACATACAGGGTTTCCCAAAAGAACCGGAACGCCTTGATATTTCAGCAACGGCTAGACAGAAAAATATGAAAGGACCCCGCACTAAACTATAGGGAAAATGGCTCTCGATGAAAATCGCTGAATTTTTGGTATGTTGCAGACTTTTATATACTGAACAGATATTCCAATGAACTAACCTCAAAAAATGGACAGTTTTTCTGATATTGACCTCCAAATGTCATTTTTCCGAGAAAACAAAAGTATCGGAAAATGGTTGAATTTTTGGCATTTTGTAGATAGGAATGAACTGATGAAAAAATCCAATTGACATAACCTCCAAAAATTGACAGTTTCCTCGATATTGACCTCCAAATATTATTTTTTCAAGAAAAAAAACTGGAAATGGCTGAATTTCTGGTATGTTGTATATAGGAATGAACTGATGAAGAAATTCAATTGACCTAACCTCAAAAAAAATTGACAGTTTTTTAGACATTGGCCTCCAAATCTAATTTTCTCGAAAAATAATCTATGAAAATGGCTGGATCAAGTAGGTTTGTTGTTGATATGAATGAACTGATGAAAAAATCTTTTTGACCTAAACGCAAAAAATTGACAGTTTTACTGCTACAGACCCCTAAATGGTATTCAAACAACTGTATGAAAGTTGACCTTCAGAATATTATTCTGTACATTTCCAAGGTCAGGATTGTCAGGAAAAAATAATGTTTCATCATCATCGACGTTTCGTCCGTCATGAGGCATCCTCAGAAATCTATGAGTAAACCTACTAGCCAAATGAGTCAATTAAGTTATGTTGCAGCTTCGATTTTCAAACACATTTTCCTGAATATCCTCATATAGGTGAGTACATTTTTGAAGTTTGTCAGTTTTTCATTTTATTGTGATAACTTTTTTCATGCCTTTTTTGTGTCATTTTGCCCATCACACACATCATTTTAATGTTTCAATGTACCCATTCTGCTTGTAATTGAAGATACCTGAATTTTTCGTATGCTGTAGATTGTTGTTGAATATAATTATTGATGATTCCAGAGATGAAATAATAGAAATGGGATTTTTGAAACACTTGCTACTGTACTAGTTCTCATACAAGATTGTCAAATTGACACAAATAATTATTTTCCAAAATATTAATATTGACACTCTCAATCCATTGCAAATATTTTATTTTATCCCATAATTTTGAAGAGCTAACCCAAACTTGTTCACTGTCGCAAACCGTTTTCTCTCCATCTCTGTACATATTATTATTCTTTATAATTATTGAAATTCACGATATTTCACAACATGAAAATCGCGGGACTACGCTTGATGACGTCTTATACCGCGATCAATCCATTGCAATTATACTATACGATACGATTTATGTATTGTGTATACTTCAGTACACAACACTCCTACTGTGGAAATAAATCCTCAATTCTATGAAGAATTCGGAAATATTGTCATTGGTTGTTGAGCAATAAAAATCTAAAAGTGTTTATCGGTATCGGTATGTCAATGTCACGTCATCGGCGGCTATAGTGTTGCTGTGAGGTGATTATTTTGATTATTTAAAAAAATATATTTGGTATCATTTTAAGTAATGAATAATACTTTTTAATAGATGGAATGATCAAAATAGAATAGATATATGGCATAAACATAAATACTATATACACTGTGTCCATAAAGTCACCCCCCCCCCTGGTTAACTATTGAACGGATGGGATTTTTTTTTCAATTTTTTTTTGCTTCAATGGTAGTTTCAGTGCTACATATTGTTCCAAAAAAAAAATATGTATCCTCCAAAATGGCGCCTGGGCGCCATTTTGGAAGATTTTTTTAAATGGAGTGGGGGGTCGAGAGATACCTCGATTGGAAGGTCTTTCGATTCTCTATACAACCTCAGAATCTCAGACAAAAATATTCATCCAAAACAAAATGGCGGATGATAACGTTTGAAATCTCACACCAGAATTCTTTCGACTAGATGGCTATTAAAGTGCTCGCATGTGATCTTCAAATCTCTATTGGCGTATAGAAGAGTTCTCTATCTATGAAGATATCAATAGGAAGCCATTTTGAAGAGAATAACATGGTAGTCAATTATTACCTCTGCTCGATTGCCTTTCCAAATTCTGCAAAATTTTAGAAACATTTATTCAAAATAAAGAACAATGTTTATTCCACGTGACTACCATGTTATTCTCTTCAAAATGGCTTTCTATTGATATCTTCATAGATAGAGAACTTTTCTATATGCCAATAGAGATTTTAAGATCACATGCGAGCACTTTAATAGCCATCTAGTCGAAAGAATTCTGGTGTGAGATTTCAAACGTTATCATCCGCCATTTTGTTTTGGATGAATATTTTTGTCTGAGATTCTGAGGTTGTATAGAGAATCGAAAGACCTTTCAATCGAGGTATCTTTCGACCCCCCACTCCATTTGAAAAAATCTTCCAAAATGGCGCCCAGGCGCCATTTTGGAGGATACATATTTTTTTGGAACAATATGTAGCACTGAAACTACCATTGAAGCAAAAAAAAATTGAAAAAAAAAATCCCATCCGTTCTAAAGTTAACCAGGGGGGGGGTGACTTTATGGACACAGTGTATATTTCATTACATACTCTCAACAGCAACTTTGTCTATTGATTATTGTTGAAGTCATCTTATTTCCCATACGTACATTTGGAGGTCCATATCGAAAAACTGTAAATTTTTTGAGGTTAGGTCAATTGCATTTTTCCATCAGTTCATTTCTATTCAGAACATACCAGAAATTCAGCCATTTCCAGAGATTTTTTTCTTGAAAAAATAACATTTGGAGGTCAATATCGCGAAAACTGTCAATTTTTAGAGGTTATGTCAATTGGATTTCTTCATCAGTTCATTGCCATCTACAACATGTCAAAAATTCAACCATTTTCAGATACTTTTGTTTTCTCGAAAAAATGACATTTGGAGGTCAATATCAGAAAAACTGTCCATTTTTTGAGGTTAGTTCATTGGAATATCTGTTCAGCATATAAAAGTCTGCAACATACCAAAAATTCAGCGATTTTCATCGAGAGCCATTTTCCCTATAGTTTAGTGCGGGGTCCTTTGGTATATATACGGCGGTAATCAGTATAGATCCACATTTTTTCCAATGGAGCCCTAAACTTTATTTTTCCAGAAATAATGATATGTTTATTTTTAGCGCATTCTATTTCTCGTATTCTAATCACTATGATCCGATGATATCGAATTTTAATTCCAAGAATTTTTGTTAATATGGCAATTCAAAATTTCGTTGGAAAATATCACAAAATTCCAATATCTCGAGGTATCGTGGCGATATAACAATGAAAATTGATTCATTAAAAAATTGTTGGCAAGTCTGATCTGAAAATACCATTTACGACGTTGTCAAATTTACAGTTACTACTTGTTGCTATTTTATACCTCATGATTCTAACAAAATGTTATTAGAGTTGTGTTTATATCGGTTAAGTAACTTTACATAACGTACAAATTTCCAGAACTAAAATTAGGTTTAAGATTCGAACATAATCAATAGGGTTTGATTTGTTTCAGTTGGAAAAAATTACATTTATGATATCAAATGAAATGCGCAAAATTCGAAAAGGGAATTTAGATAAATACTTTGGCTAGATTTAGTGAAAACAACTACTGTAAATTTGACAACGTCGTAAATTGTATTTTTAGATCGGACTTATCAACAAATTTCTAATGGACTAACTTTCATTGTCATATCGCGACGATTTCTCGAGATATCGAAATTTTGTGATATTTTCTAACGTAATATTATATTTACAAAAATTATGAAAATTCAAATTTGATATCATAGGGTGATAGTGATTTGAATACGACAAATCGAATGCGCTCAAAATAAACATGGCATTATATTTGAAAAAATTAAGTTGAGGGCTCCATTGAAAAAACTGTGAATCTGGCATCGTTGCAAATATAATTTTCAGATCTGGCACTACTGATTACCTCCGTATATTAAATTCCATAATTTTATGTCAAGCCGTTGCTGAAATAATCGGCCTTTCCGGTTCTTTTTGGAAACCCTGTATATTTACCAGGATATGAGATGAATGTTAAAATAAAAAAAACTTGGAGCATTTTCATTGCATCTACCCCCATGTATATCAAATTATGTTCTCCATACCACGAGAAGATTTCTTAGATCGAATAGCCGGTGATTTCGACAAAAATAGTTGAAGAAAACTGCATTTGCATTTGCATTATTGTATTTTGTTTCAACAGCTCATCCTAATGTCAAACTTTTCGTAACCCATGGTGGTCTTCTCAGTCAAACCGAAACAATCTACAATGGAGTACCAGTTTTGGTTATTCCTGTATTTGGTGACCAAGCTATGAACGCGAATAATGCCGTTTATGATGGTTACGGATTGTCCTTGAGCTACCATGACCCGCAATTTGGAGAAGCGAAATTGACTGCAGTGTTGGAGAAATTACTAAGCGAACCGAGGTGAATATTCAAATATCGAATTCATCTTTCATATATTTCAACTTCCAATTCCACATCATATACAGGGTGGCCCCACGGTCGATGGTACCTTAGACGTATACAGAAAACGGTATTGGATTATCCTGAAAATTTGGTTACTTTAATAAGCGTTTGTGATTTAACGATTCAAAATATTTTCAGCGATGCAGCGTTGCCACTTTTACCAAAAAGTAGCATCATCGTTGTTATTTCAAATGGAACACCCTGTATTTGATTGCGTTTTTAGTTTCTTCTCAATAAGCTGATTTCATCAATGCATCACACTTGGGGTCTAGCAGGAATTATTACAGAGATATAGGGTGTTCAAAATCGAGATTTTTCAATTTCAGGAATTTTTTGTGTCGAAACTATTCATTATCGATCAAAACGGCTTACATGTCCCTATCTTAACTTTCGATTCACTATCTACTGACATTTAATTGGAACAGATACAGGGTGATCAACATTCTGAATCTTGGACCATCCTGTATTTTTTCCAATTAAATGTCGGTAGATAGTTAATCAAAAGTTGATATAGGGACATGTAAGCCGTTTTGACCAATGATGAACAGTTTCGACACAAAAAAATCCTAAAGTTGAAAAATCTCGATTTTGAACACCCTATATCTCTGTAAAAATTCCTGCTAGACCCCATGTGTGATACATTGATGAAATCAGCTCTTCGAGAAGAATCTAAAAACGCAATGAAATACAAGGTTTTTCATTTGAAAAAACAAAGATGATGCTACTTTTTGGTAAAAGTGGCAACGCTGCTTCGCTGAAAATATTTTGAATCGTTAGATCACAAACGCTTATTAGAGTAACCGAATTCTCAGGATAATCCAATGTACCGTTTTCAGTATACGTCTAAGGTACCATCGACCGTGGGCCACCCTGTATAATAGTCAAAGATCCGAAGTGAGGTCGATATTTACCCATCTGTTCAATGAATGAAGATTATTTAATGGGTAATTTAGTATGCTGGAAATCATTCAAAAAATGGGTTGCCTGAAAATATCCTGGCCAGGCTAAAACCATTGAAAAATTCTTAATTCACTTTATTTTTTGATTTCTACCGATACGTTCAATGAAAACATTTCAGCTCAACCGTAAGTATAAAGCCTATAGAATATCAAACACAGCTGAAAACAAGAAAATACTCTAGTTCTAGAATACGGAAGGAGTGTCTTCAAGTCTTCTGTTATAACTTTTAACCTCAACCAACACCAACATTCACGAAACATTCTCAGTACTGTCAACCTAATATAATACGTACAAAAACCATGTAGCAATTATGAAAAATAGCAGCTATTATATATTGATAACAAATGTTCATATCTCAGTTACATCAAAGTTAAGTTAAATATTTATATAAATGTGGGGTTCATATATCCTAGAATATTTATGGAATATTGACGTCAATATATTATATAAAACGAGATTCACATATTTTAAAATCATTATAAGATATTTACGTGAATATTTCATATAAATAAGTTCCGTTGATATTATATAACAGTTATGTTAATATAACAAATGTGTTTGCTGAGAATTCATCTGGATGATATCATATAATAAAAGAATAACAATGAACAAAGTAGTAATCGATGAGTTATTTTCTACTCGTTTCGATATTCACAAATAATAACAAGAAGTGCAGGGTGTTTCAAGAAGAGGTGACTCCCTTGCCAATGGCAGGGAGAATACTGCGAAACAAGTTGGGTCCGCTCAGCAAGAAATGTCGCAACATCACCTGCCCCCATGTGTACAGGGTGGAGACTTTATCTTTACCTACATATGCGATATGGGGAATATAACCCTTCAAAGGTAGCTGGAATCATCCCCAACATGTTTATTTTGAATACAAACCTATGGCTTGCGACCACTCATTGGAAAGCTGGTTTGAAGAGGAATTCAGCGTACTGATTATATTTCAGTTTGCAGTACATTCAGAAGTCGCATGAAATCAGAATATAATTTTGAAGTTCAATATAGTTTCAACGTATTTTCATAAAAATTTCGACTTTAAGTGGAAGTGATATAGGGCATTTCCACTAGTTTGCCATAACACTTCGTTTCGAACAACTAAGAATACTGCAAAAAAAGTAAATTTCTTTTTGCGGCTCTATAAAAACACTGGAATACGTACTGATCATATTTCAGTTCGCAGTACCTTTGAGGGTCGCAGAAAATCAAAATATAATTTTGAAGTTCAATATATTTTCAACGTATTTTCATGAAAATTCCGAGTTTCGGTGAAAGTGATATAGGGCATTTCGAGGGGCATTTCCACTTGTTTGTCATAACTCTTCGTTTCGAACTGTGAATACGGCAAAAAAACAAAATTTTCTTTGCGGCTTCATAAAAACACTGGAATACAATAGCAGATAGCAGTTGTGGCAAATATTGCCATCAATTGTTCAACACACATTTTGAGCGATTGATACGTTGAAAAAAAAATTCAAAATTACATTTCAATTGTATGCAACCTTTGAACGTATGAAAACCAAAGATTTGACTATTACGCTAGATTCCTCTTTCCACCAGCTTTCTAATGAGGGGTCACAAGCATTGTTGCCAACTTAGTGGATTTCACACTAGAACTGATGGTTTGAGTTCTCGTTGTGTGACAAAATATGGCATCTAGTGGATGGTGTTTATTTTGGTGAATTTTTTCAATTAAATCGTGGAGTGTGGTGGTTGAGGACGCATCCGAAATGCCCCTTTTATCATATAATATTTTAATTTCAACAATGTAATATACTAAAGCAAAGTTTTTATAGAAAAAAGTAGTTTCAATTGCAATCAGTTTCTTACGATTATGTCCAATTGTGCGCTGTTTTCGTACGATCTCGAATATTGTTTTTTATATCTTGTTTTATATGTAACATGATATAAATAAGTATACCGGGTGACCAGTTATATTCTGACCCATTTCAAATGCTTATATCTCTGAAACCATTCAAGTTATCGTTGTGCAGTTTGGATTAGTCTAATTTGATATTCCTCAAGTTTTTTTTGACAGGTTCACCTCCTCTCTTGAACTTCCGGTTCTACCGGAAACAAACTAACCATTATTCATGTATATAGGGCAACTTTTTTATTTCATCGAAGCACCCTGTATATTTTTGCACATTCAGAAAGACTGGTCTTTTCTCTTCCTAACAATGTATAACAAGTTATGTTTTCTTAGAAAACTATCAGAGTTATAACTCTTTGAAGCATCTACTGCATATTAAGATGTTATCCTGAAATGCTGAATTACCGTATATTGAGTATAAATCTGATGCAGATTTATGATGAGTTCATTTGCTTTTTCACTCAAAGTAAACATTTTTTCAACTCGAAGAAAGTATAAATGCTCTTCAATCTATATTTGACACATTTAATCTGGCATTTCATGTGTTGTGATCAGGATTTCCAAAGACGACTTTGGTTACATTGCAAAATCTCATTAAACCATTCCACATGCAGTAGTTGTTTCAAACAGTTATAACTCTGACAGTTTTCTGAGAAAACATAACTTGTTATACATTGTTAGGAAGAGAAAAGACCATAGTCTTTCTGAATGAGTGAAAATATACAGGGTGATTCGGTGAAATAAAAAAGTTGCCCTATACCTGAATAATAGCTAGTTTGTTTCCGGTAGAACCGGATGTTCAAGAAAGAAGGTGAACCAGTCAAAAAAAAACAAAAATATCAAAATAGACTAGTCCAAACTGCACAACGATAACTTGAATGGTTTCAGAGATATAAGCATTTGAAATGGGTCAGAATATAACTGGTCACCCGGTATCATTAATGTTATGAATAATTCATTTTGTTCGTTTTGTTTTCTGATAAAAAAAACTTTTAATATGATCTGATTTTTACATCTGGTGTTATCTAGGGATCTGAACTGAAGTTAAAACCACCAGAAAATCACTAGATTTTCGAAAATTTTCGCCTGCAACTCATTATTTTTCAATTCCATCCTGTTTGGTGGTTTTTTGATGTTTTTTAGGAGGCCAATTTGCTACTTTTGGAAATCTGAGTTGGCAACGTCACAAGCCATAGGGTTACATTGGAAAAAATCATGCTGAGGGTGGTTTCAGCTACCTCTGGAGGTTTATATTCTCGGGATTGCTTGCAAAAACGTAGATATATACATTAAATCGTTGACGTATGTCGGTAATTTTTAGGAAAAATATTCACCTTCCCGCTAACGAATTTATTCCAGTTGAAGTCTCCACAGTGTATATAGCCAACTCCTTCTAAACGGCAATATTGCATGTTACGACATAACGACGTCAGTTAAAGCAAAAAGACCTACCATAGCTTTTTTGTCATTATGTAATGGGCTTATATCACAAAAAAAAATCGCGAACCGTTTCTTGCTGTGAGCTTCCTACGTTTTATAAAAAATCATTGAAATCTCTGATTTTTCGGACCTCTGGAAACGAGGCGACGATGTGACGTCAAAACCTTAATACTGAAACAAGACTATCCCAGACAGAGATGAATGTTACATGATTTCTGACAGAGTGAATTAGCGCGAGATCACAGTTGAAAGAATTAATATATCACAAAGAGAGAGAAACTCAAAGTCATTACCACAATCATACTAGTTCATAATATATCAGTTGCCTCAGTCTCCGTCGGGCGTTTGATATTTTCTTTTAACCATGGCGAGATGAGGTTTTCACTTCAAAAGAGGATCCGTTTTCAGAAGGTACTATTCTTTATGTCTAAAAATGAAACATTCCAGTTGATTTTTCGATCGAATTATGTCGTCATTCATTATTCATGTATGAAAGGATCATTATAAACATGGTTTGAGTTAAAAGTTCTACTAAGGTGTACACGCCCATTGTATCTTATTGACTGTCAGGAGACATAACATTTTTGAAGAGATCATGATTTGCCTTTCAAATCATCCAATTTTTAGGTATCAGGAGAATGCTAAACGAGTATCTCGTTTGTACCATGACCGTTATATGACGCCAATGGAAACTGCAGTTTACTGGGTCGATTACGTCATACGTCATCATGGAGCTCCCCATTTGAGAGTAGCAGGAGTGAAGTTACCTTGGTACAAATATTGTTTACTGGATGTCTTTGGTGTCATAGTGATATCTTTCGGTTTAGTTATCATATCGTTAGTTTTTTTGTTGAAATGTATTTTGAAAGTATTCCAAAATAGGAAGACAGCCACGAAACTCAAAGGCAGTTGATATTGTTCATTGTGAATAAATAAAGAACAAACAATAAGTTCAAAAGCTTATCATTTATTTCGACTCCCATTTTGTTAAACTTTTATTAGGTACCGATTTGCTACAGTGATCCAAACATTTATGCGATAAAATTTCGTATCTTCCATCTTGATTGCTGATTGTGCTCATGTTGAATGAGCCACAGTTTTTATACTGCACTGATGATGATGCATACAATGTACATCATTCACACAATGATTCAGATCTGAACACATTTCACTCTTAGATGGAGATCAAATAAACAATAGATTTGGAAACATATTCTTCTATCAACATTATGGTTGAATCGACGAATAACGAGTTAGATATTTTGTAAAGTTGCCTCAGGGCCGATGAACTTGAAATAAATGCTCAAAAAACAAAGTGTATATGATATTAGGTAGCGAAGTCAAATGTACTAGGTTCAATATAGGAAATCTTCGACTTAGTAACTCGGAATTATTTAATCCAGACTCATTATATCAGAATTCCGAAAGAAAAAGTCGAAATTAGGAAATTCCGCGATATAATTAGTCGGAATTCCGATATGATTAGTCGGATTTAATGAATTTCATGATACTGAGTCGGAATTATGAAGAATAATTGCGGTGGTCCTTCAACGCCTTCTTATAGCTATCCAATGGATATCTAATGAATAATATTGGGTGCAGTCTGGGGTCACCTTCGAGAGCACTTTGATCCTATCTGTGAATAACTGAATCTTAAAATCGCAAATGACTCGCTGATATCCTGACGATGATAGTTTTTCTCAACGAGGAGCATTTCTATAGTGAATAGGCAGTTCTAGTCTCGAGTTGACAGCAAGTTCAAATCAAGCATTGCATCGCCTTTACCGATCAGAGTGATATTAATGTAAGTAATTATCGTTGAGAATGTTTATAGGTATCTAATATCTATATAGGTAACACCAAATTCAGTAGATTATTGAATGCATACTTGATTCCTCTTCTTTATATTTGAAAATGAAGGACATACAGCCTTCATATAGAATCGTAAACGGCTTGACTGATTTAACAAAATTTTTGTTGTTGTGTTTGTTATTGTCTGCAGAAGGTTCCTATTCGAGAAAAAATTTAGGAATTCAAGATGGCGGATCCAATATGGCGGACGAGTTTTGTAATTTCAATACGATTTCTTTATATATAAAAATGAATGTCTGTATGTCCTTTATAGAATCGTAAATGGCTTGACAGATTTCACTGAACCCTTTCTTTGTTGTGTTTGTTATTGTCAGGATAATATACATTCGAGAATAAAAATCAAGAAATTCAAGATGTCGGATCCAATATGGCGGACGGGTTTTGTAATTATAACCCGATTCCATTCCAAAATGATATCTGGGGGTTTTTGCGGTCGGAGATTATGATTCTTTGGTCGAAATTGGAAAATTCAAGAAGGCGGATCCAATATGGCAGACGACTTTCGTAATTATAATTCGTCTATATTCATAATTGGTATCTAGGGGTTCATGAGGTCGAAGATCATGATTCTTTTGTGGGAATTGGAAAATTCAAGATGGCGTATCCACTATGGCGGACGAGTTCCGTAATTATAATCCGATTACATTCTGGTATTTGGGGGTTTTTGGTTTCAGAGATTATGATTATGTCATCAATTTTGAAAATTCAAGATGGCACATCAAATCTGATGGTTTGAAGATTCGAGATGGCGGATTCAGTATGCCGAACTGGCTTTGTAATACATAGTGTTTCGAAAAACTAATGAAATACGCTTTCATATTGATAGCCAAACTGAAATGAAGTAAAAAATGAATAGTGGGTTAGAAAACTGAAGAGATAGATTACGGAACTGACAGGAAGTAGGGAATAGATAGAAGTTGAGAAAACTAAGAAAACTTGCTTTTATGGTTAGTCAAACTCGAGTCAAACTAAACAAAAGTAGAAAATGAAATGATAAAATTGTGTTATTGAATATTCAACTGAAAACATATTTTCTAGAAATAATGTAAATAGCGAAACAACGTTTGCCGGGTCAGCTACAATCAATAAAATGACTTGAACCTAGTTTTTCGAATAATATTTTTTGTCTACTGTGTCTTTCAAATGTATTTCACTAAGTAGCGTAGCAACGCGCGCAGGGTACAGCTAGTATTCTGATATTCGTTGTAACATTCGTTGGGATTTATTTTTATTTATTTATTTTCACAAACAGGACGAACCCAGATACATTATTCACATTGAGGTATACTAAATATGTCATGTTGTTAGGTATTCAATTCCAGTATACAGTGGAAAATTTAATATATTTTATATGAAAAACATATCATCAATTGGATGCTGGAAAAAATGTTTCTTGAGTTTATTCACAAAGATTGTTAAAGAGTCGGAACAAATATCAATATCTGATATGTTTGAAATGGAGTTATAACTTTTCAAGCATCGATGTGAAGGGCAGTAAGATAGTAATTTGTGTTCGGTATGGGACAAGTTGTAATAGCGAGTGGAATATTGTGGAACATTGTAATCATGGACCAAGTTATTTATAGATGAAAGAGTTTCGGGAACGAATTTGCTCCCGTTTTCGACATAAAAAATGGATTCTCTTTATTGCGATACGTCCGAAACTTCCAAAGCGTAATAATTTAATATTCTTCTTATATACCTCTACTTCTCGTCTGCAAACTTTTCTTAATACAAAATAAATTGTCACTAACAAGCTAGTGACTTTTTTTTAGGCTCTCTGATAGGAAAATTCTCCAAACGCCGTGACATTTCGGGGCAAATCATTTGATTTGTCCTCATTACACGTACCTATATCGGAATAATATTTATATTTTCATTTTATAAAAACGAGAAGATAAAATCCCAAATATTCTGGAATGATGAATGTACCACCTCCTCGATTAACCTACAGACAGTATTTAACTATGAATAAGTTTGAAAATTCTCGAAGGCTGTTGAAATGACTGTTTGAATGCACAACTTTTTTTCCATTCAATCGAAATCGTATCTCCTACCGTATCCGAGATCCCAATGCTGTATACAATCTTATCTTAGTCACACTGACTATATGAGATATAATTTGAATGTCTGATTAGTTCCTAGACTAGACGAATGAACAAATTCTCGAGAAATATGTATCTATGGATTTCTGTATGCTAACATATGGATAAGAAATATATTTTTTCTCGTTGAGTCAATAGCATGGAGGATATCCAAGTAAATTGTTTATATTATACCTATTATCTGATTGTGGGATATTCTAATATTCAGTGATTCAGATATTTCCATTGAACATATTCACATCAATTCAATTCCAATTGGTTCATTACTCGGTTCTTGATAAATGGATGAATATTTCCCTATGAATGTTAATGATTCAATAGGGGATCTATTCTCTCAGAACTAGATGATATCTTATTTTTCGATACATAACAGACGAAATCCAATAATCTGTTGTATGAGCCAGGAAAGTAGTTGTTTTCATTCAGTAATCCGGACAATATTGCCCTAAGATCGCAGTTGCCACCTGTTCTGAATTCAGGCCTAATCGGTTTGAAAAATATCAGGAACACTTGTTTCATGAACAGCGTCGTTCAATGCCCGTCTCAAACTGAGTGGCTGTTGGAATATTTGAGGAAGAATGCTTACTTCAATGATCTGAACAAGAGGTCATCAAGCAAGAAGGGGACTCTGATAAAAGCATTTGCATTCGTGGTCGAGATTCTTGATAATGAATAAATCTAAGTTCGTCGATAATTTTGTCGGGCAGTTGGAGTCTACTTTGAGATGCACCTTCTGTGGCAATTGTTCGGAGACATCCGACCCATTTTGGGAGTTGTCTTTACCGAAACCACAGCGATCAGGTCAACTCAGCTTGTCTCCTTGCTTGAACTCGTTTCCGAGTGTTGAGATTTTAGACGGCGAGGAGAAACCAACTTGCTCGATGTATAGAGAGAAAAAAAAATGTTTGAAGTCATTACCACAAGTTCCCAAAAATTTTAGTTGAAACGTTCCTCGCAGACTGTAGAGTTCAGTGAAAAACTAAACACATTTGTCGACTTCCCCTTGATCGGCTTGGACATGAGCCCCTATGCAGCTAAAGATATCGTACCATGTCCTTACAATCTGTACGATATCTCAAACCACAGCGGTACCACCTACAGCGGACACTACACAGCCTACTGCAGACATATACAGTCTGTCTAAGATAAGGTTGAACAGCATGGGGATCTCGGAAACGGTAGGAGAGCCTTTGAAAATTTTGAAAATTATTTCTAGTTTTTGAGTTATATCGAAAAAAGTTTATGGAATATCTATTTTATTTTTTTTCTTCGTTATTATCAGAGATACAGAAAAACTCAGGATACCTTTTCATAGCAACTTTTGATGACGTTTCACGTGGTGTTATTGATTTTTCCATACAAGGTTCCGTATTCGTAGAACCATCATCAACTTTTGTTTTTCAAATACGGTCCTGATAATTTTTTCACAGATTCTGAAAGGTTTTATTATTTTGAATTCAACCATGTATTATACTAGGTGATTTATGTGTGTTTTGACCTACTTTTAGCGATCATCAATGTTTTTTCGAAATTCCAAAGGAAAATCGCCATCAGTTCCACTCATTTTCTAGGAGAATCAGTCAAATAAACACAAGTACCTCATCAACTGGTTTCAATCAACAATCCATTTCATTTTGAGGAAACAAAAATTCCATCCCTACAAATTCAGAATATGTCAAGCGCTAAAACCACGCGATGACGAAAGGCGCAGGAAATTCTGTGAGTGGTATATATACCAGGAAATGTCAAAATTTTGCAGATTTTCCCCGAACAATCATCTGGACTGATGAAAGCATGGTCACTAATCATGGTAGCTTCGATAGAAAAAATACACATTATTGTTCACGAGAAAATGAACATTTATACATTACAGCGAGACACCAACAACGTTTCGGCTTCAATATGTGGGTTGCAATATTTGGTAGACGAATGATTGGTCCTACTATCTACTATGAAACACAGACTTCCGAAAGATATAGAAATTTGCTTGAGAATCATCTTGAGGAAGCTGTGGATGATTTACCGATTGCGGAAGTTCAGAACTGTTGGTTTCAACAAGATGGCGCTCCGGTACATAATTCCAGAGAAGTCCGTGCATTTTCATCCAGAAAAATCGATTGGTACTCATCCTACAGTCCCTTGGCCGGCTTGGTCGCCTGATTTGACACAGCTGTATTTTTTCTTAGGGGATATATCAAACTTTGTATACGCAAATAACTTTGATGATGAAGAAGAACTAAGGGACAGTGTCTTCGAAGCATTCAATAGAATATCCCCAGAAATGCTTAGCGATGTCTTAGAAGCAACTGTGAGAAGAGGACATCTTTGTTCAGAAAATGATGGTTGTCATTTTGAACATTTGTTTTGATTGCCTCTGTAGGTATTGTCAAAGTTAACTTTTTAAAGTAATTCGTGTAAGAATTCATCAACAATTTTAAGCACTGTATTGATCGAATGATGTAGTGAAATTTTTTTTATTTACTTTTCAGTATTGAATAACTAATCCATCAAGTTTGACATTAAATGATCAGAAATAAGTGGAAGTTCTAAAAAACATTGATGATGGATAAAAATAGGTCGAAACACATTCGAATCACCTTGTATAATACATGGTTGAATTCAGAATGAACAAACCTTTCAGAGTCTGTGGAATAATTATCAGGAACGTATTTAAAAAACCAAAGTTGATGATGGTTCTACGGATACGAAACGTCGCATAAAAAAATCGGTATCACCAAGTTGAACGTCATCAAAAGTTGCTATGGAAAAGTATTTTCAGTTTTCCTGTATCTCTAATAATAACGGTGAAAAAAAAATAAAATAGATATTCCAAAAGTTCACTTTTTTCGATATATCTCAAAAACGAAAAATAATTTTCGAAATTTTCGAAAGCTCTTGATATGAGCCTCCGAATGCGCAAATTTTTCCCTATTTAAACGACTTCGTATCTCCTATACCGTTTCCGAAATCCCCATGCTGTTCAACCTCATCTTGGACAGACTGTATATACGAAAATTTGGCACGAGTACAATGATTCCCTGGTTTTTTCAATTTCGTCGAATTCTCTCGTCAGTAAGGATGCTTATATTCTTTTTTACCAACAAGAGGCTCGTCACCCCAAATACGAACAACGTGATGGTGACTCTGTGAAGAGCTACTGCTCCGTAGCTGATCCCGATAGCACCCTTCGTACTGTCCACTATCCCGCTGATAACCACGACATGTTCAACACAGTCGTGGAGAAGCATGGAACTCCAGTTTACCTAGCTCCAGCTGCACACTCTGCCCCAGTAGAGGATGTATACTCTGCCCCAGTACTGAATGTATACTCTGCCCCAGTACAGAAGGTATATTCTGCCCCACTTGCACATGCTTGCTCCAGTACTTGCAGCCCAGTATGTGCACGATGCCCCAGCCGTTCCTTCTGCCCAAGCTCATTTGTGGAGTGAATGAAGTGGAAATCCATTATTTATTTATTATGTTATGTTTATATGTATATTCAATTTGGAATATATTTATATGTGAAATTATATATCATTTTATATATTTTTTTGAATTAGGTATTTTCAATGTTTGACATTTATATATTTCAATATTCTGTGGTATTAGCCAGGAAAGTAGTTATTTTCTGTTAGATATTCCAACAAGGAATCTGTTATTTCCTAGAAAACGAATATGTCTTTTTCTACAAACGCTTAACAAAGTAGCCTTTGACGCTTTCAAATTCCAGCACAAAGTTGACGTTTTCCCAGAAATGTCATTCTTTGACAGCATTTGCGCTCGTGAGCGGAAATATTGAAAAAACGCTCGCTTATCTCTGTAACCTATACTTATCTATTCTTGAAAACCCCCAATTCTTTCATGATGGAAAATAGTGACAGTGAATCATCAAACACACTTCCTGATGATCTAGCAGAAAGCGCAAGAGTTTGAATCTCTTATACCGGAGAAATCAAGGGTTGCCACTCCGAGATGGTGAATATGTATTCAGAAAACGTTTTACCGGCTTATTTTGGTAAAAAATCAAAGACTTAAGTCTTCAACTCATTGGTCTATATATTCGATGGTACGTATACATGCTTGAATGTTAAAGATACTATCGGAATCAATAAGTATCTGAAACTTATCGCATTTCTCAAGAAACTATCTATTGGATATAATGCGAGAAAAATCCAAAACATTCACCGCTGAAGATATATACCAACAAATTTCTACAAGAAGCTCCCGATGAAGCATATCTGTTGAAAACGATGAATAATACTTTATATTTAAACTCTTTGTTGTCATCAGAAAGACAGTGTATCTTTATTTTATTGCATCAATGAGTAATGTTCAATTTGTTTGCAGAGCTTATCGTACTATGGCTCAGAGATCTGAAGCTCAGGTTGCCACGCTGGTGGTCCAGTTTCAATTCTCGGTAGGCCCGACATTTTTTTTCTGGCTTGTCAGTTATTTCAATTTTTCTTTCTTTGTTTTTTTGGACATATAGTATGATATAGATAAGAACTTCCTCAACTATTTCAATCGCTCATACTTTCAGGGTAGTTATTTCCAAGAGCTGCGTTAGTAGAAAAAATCTTGTGTGTATTTCGAGCACAAAGTGTTATTGCCGCTCTCCAAAGATTACCGCGCTTCGCTCCGCATCGCGCGGTAACTTTCTTTGTCGAGCGGCAATCTATCACTTTGCGCTCTAAATACACAAATAGCTATTTTCTCCATTTTGTGAGCGCCAATATCATTATCTTTTATTTCTAGGAACACTGACAATGAACATAAGACTGCAATATATTTCAGTAGCTGTAACGATATTGTTACGAACAGTATCGAGTTCCAAGATCCTGGGTGTATTTTTCATGCCATCGAAAAGCCATTTCACGCTAGGAAACAGCCTAGCTCGAGGTCTAGCTGAAGCAGGACACGATGTGACGCTCATAAACCTCTTCGGAGACGATCAACCTCTTCCAAAGAATGGTTCCTACAGGGATATTGTTTTAACTGGATTACTAGACGATTTTCTATGTGAGTTTGAATCGTTGTATTGGTTCAATTCCAGTGATACGAAACGAAACACACTGTAATTCACAGACTTTTCTCGACAACACCTTTCACTCTGAAATGTGTTATAATATAAAAACGAAGAATCCATTTCACGAAACTTCCAACGATAAGTGAAATTTCAAATTTTTGCAATAAACTTCTTCAAACATCTCTTAAACAAAGTGTCAGTGACTATGGGTTTTGTGTTTTATTTTTGGCTATCTAAAATAGTAACATTTTTTAATGCAGTGTAATTTTTAGTGCTTCACACGAGACCAACGAGACGAGACTTTCATAAAGTCTCGTCTCGTCTCGCCGATGAAATATAAAGTCTTGTCTCGAGTCTCGTCTCGCAGCTTCGAGTCTCGTCTTGTCTCGCGTCTCGTACGAGAGTCTCGCGAAAGTATCGCAATTTCGTCATGCATAATCTTGTTCCAGTCTAGTACGGGATATTCACCTTTACCTACTTTTGAGGTATAATGTAGAAGTAGGAAGAGAAAATTACAACAAAAATAACATTATTTATTGAAAAGTAAGTACATGATAGGTACATATTTACATCATACATCTAAACAAGAAAAAAAAAACATAGCATTATTCAGGGTGATTCACATAACAACCGACATAGAGCACAGGCATGTAGGGGGTCCCACAATATAGCAATGTAACGCAACTTACCTCTATACCAAGTTGCTTCCCTTAGGAGTTATAGGCTTTGAAAGTGAAGTTATAAATTTTGAAAAAACTCAATATCTCCGTTATTCTTGAACTTAAAGCAACCAAATTTGGTACACTTTGTGGATGTATTTAGGGTGTTACTTGATAGTAACTAGAGTTTAATTCAAATTTGTGAAGGGGGTATACCGTGTGGCGCACCATTAATATTTAACAGAATTTTGTTAACCCTTGATGGATTTTGAAAATCTTTGCTTTGTTTTGTGGGCAATTCAATTCCAAAATATTTCTTACTCTAGTAATTTTTCCCAGTTTTTCACATTTCAGTATCTGTACTTACTTTACGTATTTTGTTACGTATCTCAATAATAATTTGCCAGCCTATTTCTACTGATCACATTAATAAATGACCTACTTTCTTGTTTGACGTTCATTTTCATAGCCAACTTTTGAATTTTCGATGATTTTAAAATAACACACCTAGAGCGCGCGTTTTCAGTTATTGAGTTTTTGATGAAAATGATGAGGTTTCTCGAAAAATTACTAGGATAAGATAAGTTTTAGAATTGAATATACCCCCTTTACAAATTTCAATTGAACTCTAGTTATTGTCAAGTAACGCCCTAAATACATCCACGAAGTGTACCAAATTTGGTTGCTTCAAGTTCAAGAATAACGGAGATATTGATTTTTTTCAAAATTTATAACTTCACTTTCAAAGCCTATAACTCCTTAGGGAAGCAACTTGGTAAAGAGGTAAGTTGCGTTTGATTGCCATATTTTGGGACCCCCTACATGCCCCTGCTCTATGTCGGTTCTTATGTGAATCACCCTGTATATTCGAAAGTTATAAAAATTAGATGAAAAGTAACACGTAGGTATATTCTGAACAAATAAACACAACGGAAACTTTAATCCAACATTATTCCGCCGTGAGAGAGAGAATAGTCTGTCTTGGTTTCACGCATTACGTCGTTTTACAACAATCATGGATTGTGTTTTAAAAGTATTTATGAATGAACTGATTTCTCTATCTGTGCTGAATAGTCTAAATTCTTTCTGAATATGTTGTATTATGAATGGAATTCTCAAGTCTGCAGTCGGCACGCAGAAATATTTACCGGCGAGACTCTCGCACGAGACACGAGAAGTCTTGCACGAGACTCGAGACGAGACCAATAAAAGTCTCGTCTCGTCTTGTCCGAGTATCGTCTCGAGTCTTGTCTCGAAAACGAGACGAGTCCATGCGAGACTCTCAAAAACGAGACTCTCGCGGGCACCACTAGTAATTTTAGGGCAGAAGATAATTTGCCTTATATTTTACTGCCTTGCTACATATGTACAGTGAGTATTATAAGTATTACCCTACCCCCTATTTGACTGGTTATTGTTCTCTTGTTAGAAAAATCGCCGTCACACGTCGATTTTTTTGATTTTCACAATGTACATACATAGATAGTTTATACCCAATTCCATAGGCGAGCAATCCTTTCGAAAAATTTCAAGAAGAAGAGTTCTTCTGAGTCGTATTGCTAGTAATGAGATGATAGTAGAGATTTCTGAAGAGCTAGCGAGTGTGGCATCACCCACCAGGCGAATGGCCCTTCTATAGATGGAATCTAAGATCATCAACCGCTTATGTGGGAACATTATTTCGAAATTGACCGTATCTGAGCGTTGGAGATCATGAGGAGGTGTTGAGGTTCAAAAAAAGATTGTCGCACGAAACCAGGACCCAAGTTTTTGTGGAGCAACCTTCACAATGAATCGGACATGATTTTTCCATGGAAGAGTGTTGGTGATGGAGGTACCGAGCATAGAAATAAAGTGGTCTTGATCGGAACGCTGCAGCAAGACATTGTTATATCAGGCATACTGCCTTTCTGAAGAAAATACACGCTGGAGATCTGTATTGAAGGGAAATAAGTTTGGCGTGAAAGGAAAAAGAACTTGGATTGGGTTGGGTTGGTCGGAACCATCAACCAGTAACTGAAACATAGATATAACCTATTTCACACTTCTACATCGACTAACAACATTACCCAACTTGCTATTTGCACTCTCAGGGACCACTAGAACCTGTATTTATTAAACTTTTTTTGCGAATAATATGAGGCATGTAAGTCCGACTTAGACTGTCAGAAGGGTGTTCCATTTGGAATAACAAAGTTGCTGTCATTTCTAGAAAAACCGGAAGTCCGCTATATTTAATTGTGTTGTGATCACATCCGAAATGGCAGCTCATATAATTTCACCAAGTTTCAGAAAATTTATGTATGGATGCACAATTCACAGGAGTGGCCAGATAACCTGTGTCTCCTGGTATATGCGATTCAAATACTATGAAAATATCAAGAAGAGTAGAGGGTCTGTCTGGAATCAATTTTTCTTTTTGCCATTGGAAAAACTATGAATTTCGTGCGACTATCCCAACTCTCGGTGTCGTCGAAACTGTTTGAACACATATAATAACACATAGAACAACAAGTTGGATAATACATCTAATTACACATAGAATAACACAAAGGATAACACATCGGATAGCACATAGGAGAACACATAGAATATCACATAGAAACATATGAAATAACACATAGCGTGACACATAAAATGACTCATTAAATAACACATTAAGTAGCACATGAAACTATGCACAGAAAATCACATATAATAAGACATAGAAAATTCAGATTGATGATGTTCTTATTATATGGTCTCATCAAATGGTCAACATACAAGATACTTTCGATATAGATATATGTAGTAAATAATAGACAGCTGTTTGTTATGCTCTTGGGATATTACCACCTGAATGTGACTATTGTAAGTATCTTGAATAGCAACTCACCTCCTGCAGAATCATACAATCAAGAATATACAATACGACCCAAGAAAGATTCCGTAAGTTTCAAAGTTCGCCCAAGTTGAGTTTGTGTCCACCATTTTGTGTTCTCAACAAATATACTGAATAAATGCGACTTCCCTTGATCAATATATTTCTGCCGGGAATGTGAGACAAATCAGTCCTATTTGTAAAACCCCACTATTTTTTATTTTTACAGCTTCAAGGAAGATTAGTCCTACTGAAATGAATACCAGTTCCTTCATGCAACCATTCATCTTCAATACGAAGATGCTAGGACTGATAGAAAAGGCAATCAAACATCCCGAATTTCTCAATCTGGTGAACTCTAACGAAACATTCGATGTTGTTATTGTGGAACAATTTGCCAACGATGTTTGCAAATATCTCGCTCCATATTTCGATGCTGAACTCATAGTATTTTCCCCAATTGGCACTTATCCTACCATCAACAATATGGTAGGAAACCCCACCATGGTATCTTTCACCCCTGGTGCCTTCTCAAAATATCGTGGACGTATGAAATTCTTCGACAGAGTGCATAACACTTTGATATACATCCTGGAAGAAGTTTTGCATGAGTTTGTTTTCTTACAAAACCAAGAGAGATTACTTCATAAATATTTCTCAAACAGTACAAATATCCGTAATTTATTCTACAACGTATCATTGGTGTTACTGAATAGTCATGAGAGTATATGGCAGCCTGTTCCCCAAGTACCTAATATGATCCAGATTGGAGGATACCACGTTCAGCCACCGAAGAAATTGCCCAAGGACATTCAAGTATTCTTGGATAACGCAGAAGATGGCGTGATTTTCTTCAGTATGGGTTCGTATTTGAAGAGTACAGAGTTTCCTGTGAGTAAGAGGAATGCATTGTTGGCAGCATTCGCTCAACTGAAAGAGAAAGTATTGTGGAAATGGGAGGATGAAGTACTCCCAGGACAACCAAGTAATGTGAAAACTGCTAAGTGGTTACCTCAGAATGACATCTTAGGTGAGTGGTTCACGAAATTATTGTGTTTCTCTCAATGATAACCATTGTACTAGTTCTAACGAATGAAAATTCTTGTTGACTGATTTACAACATTTCATAATATAGTACACAACGAGCTCTATTCGAAAATAAGAACAAATTTGAAATATTCTGATTTTCAAGGCCTACTTTTGTTTGTTGAAGGGGGTCAAAATTTCAAAAAGACTATAAGGTAACTTTCCAACGAAACTGTGACTGTCGATTCAGGCATAGCTGAAATAACTCAATACGAAATTTGAACGCTAATTTCATATAGAGTGTTAGTTGTTCAGTGTCAAATTTTGATATAATTTTGACTTTTCGGTTCACCCTGTATCGAAATCTGAGGAGTTGATGCAACCAGTGAAATAGTCATTCAAGGGAAAATGACATCGGATACTCAGAAACAAAGTTTCAGTGTCGTAACTTCTACAGGAAGATCTCTCTTGGTCAACCAAAAATTAATGAAATTGAATTGCAATTTTTTATGATTCATATTTTTTTCTCCTGGAAATATAAAAGATGGTAACCAATTTAAGGATATATTTTCTATACATGAAAATTTTCATTGTCATCTCAGATTTCCCTTCCATCTCGTCAAAATCGGTATATTATTATGATCACATTAAGTATCAGTAACCCTCCTGGTAGTCTTTGGAGAGTGTTTGTCTGTCATTTTATTTGTATTATATTCGGAAGTTCTTTATCAATTGAGACGATTTTTAGAGTAGATGTGTGAGTTTTCAAAATGGTGAATCTCAACTTTAATTTTGTTGATTTTTGGTTGACCTCGAGAGATCTTCCTGTAGAAGTAACAACGATAAAACTTCGTATCCAAGTATCCGATGTGTTTCTTCATTGAATGACTACTTCATCAGTTATATCGATTACTAAGATTTTGATACAGGGTGAATCGAAAAATAAAAAATATTGAAAGGATACCGCACACTTTAATAGGGAAAGTGGCCCCCTGTCGAATTGGCTGAATGTTTGATATGTTATAGTCCAAGTCATTCCAAACAAAAAGTTCAATGGGCACAACTTTTTCTATAGGCTAGTTTTGGCGCTAGAGGCACTTGAAAGCTTTCATTTGTTCTTTATTGTTATACGACATGGAACGGTATTTTGGGTAATAATCACTACTCTGCATCATCAAGATCTAAACAGTCATCAATATCAGATACTATCGGAAGTATTTTTCTTCGGTGTTGTTATATTTGGTCAATTATACAGTGTGTTCTAGCTACTTACAACTTCCAAAGTTCAATAATTCGAAAATGGTTACAAATCGTCTTAGGGATCTACAATGAGAAAATGTTTATGAATCCTATTTTACATCGTATTCTACATCACATAGTCAAAAAATATACGGAGTGTTCATTGTAAAAGAAAGCGAAAGTTCTAACATTCGAAAAATTCCGTACCTACTATATATTGATATATTCTCAGATGGAACACCCTATGAGTTATCAGATGAATAATTAGGGTTCAGTCAAGGGTTTTCTATTATATAGGGTCGACGATACCAGATTGAATGAGTACGTTAAATGTAACATATAATTGAGTTATAGCCCATTATTTTCTCCATATTACATTTATACTGAATGTGCGACTAGAGGCTTTGTTGACTTAGGAGGAATTTTTCCGCGATACTCCTTGAGCATCAATATATACTTATCATATTAATACTCATTCGACAAAACCCTATCAAAATGATATACCACTTTGTTATATTTTCCATGAGTTCCATCATTAATTTGAAGTATTAATAAGTATAATATATGGAACACACTGTATAATTGATCCTTGCAATGAACAATACTTCCAATAGTATATCATATTAATGACTGTTTTGATCTTGATTATGCAGAATAGTGATTATTACCCAGAATACCGTTCCGTGTTGTAGAACAATGAAGAACAAATGAAAGTTTTCAAGTGCCTCTAGTGCCAAAACTAGCCTATAGAAAGAGTTGTGCCCATTGAACTTTTTGTTTGGAATGACCTGGACTATAACATATCAAAAATTCAGCCAATTCGACAGGGGGCCACTTTCCCTATTAAAGTGTGCGGTATCCTCTGCCATTGAATTACTAGCACCACAGTAGAGCTCTACTGTGCTAGCACCGTATATGAGATTTTGCGTTCAAATTTCGTATGGGGGATCTAATCTTTGCCGGAATCGAATGGGCTAGTCACTGTTTCGACAAAAAATTGCCTAATAGTCGTTTTTGGATTTTGGGTACATACAACAATCAAAAGTAAGCCTTGAAAATCTGAATATTTCATATTTGTACATATTTTCGGATTGAGGGTACTCCATTATGGAATTTTTGTTTTCGAAAATCGATGACGAGTTTCAAATTAGGCGAATGTTGTGGGTTAAAATCGCACACACTGTATGTATTCGATCACATAACTAGCCAAGCGCTTTCGCGTATATCCTGACACGATCACTCCTGAACCTCTGTCCACCAAAGTAAATCTAGATATATGAGTTTCTATTCGAAAATACCTCACGACAGCTGAATGGACCTGTTTCAGTGAAAATTATGTATTTCATTATTTTGAACTACTTGTCTAAACTAGTTAACTCAGTCACAAACCAGTTTTTACTCAGAGCTCTGTGTATTTTTTTATAATTATTGAATTCATTCAACAGAAAAATGCGGGAAAACTGGTGACGAAATCTAATGTGACCAATCCAATGCAACCATATAGAAATCGACTATCGTATGCGTTCTCTATTCCTGTATGTTGAGTGCAAGATTATTTCTGATTATGATGATGATTTTTCCGGCAATCAGACTAAGTTGTAAATATACCAGCTGAACCTTCGACAATATTCGAATCAAGTTTATCAATACTCATACTGGATGATTACTGCAGATAACGCAGAAAACAACTACAACTAAAGAATCAGATATAATCTCAGGAGAATCTTTGAATACTCGCAGTTTTTGCTATCTCATAACAACCTGGGGTGTATGTCGACCAACAAAATTTAAGAAAATACAGACTCTTCAAAATAAGGTAGTGAAATTTTTATTTGGACATAGCTAAAGAACACATACAGAGAAAATATATGAAGAAACAGGAATACTGCCCTTGGAACAAATATTACAAATAGAACAATGCAAATACACTTACAAAATACAAAAAAATCAACAAAATTGTAATACTAAATTCAACTTAGTTAACGAAACTCACACATATGAGACTAGAAATCAAAATAATTTTTATCTATCAAATGTAAGAACAAACTTGGCACTAAATAATTCTATACAGGGCTTTTCACGATGAGCGTTAATTAGACGTTTCTGGCAAACCAGACAACGAATCAACCTGAAAATTTGACAGTATGCATAAATGAACATGATCTACACGCCTAAAATATTTTAGACGATGCGGCGTTGCCGCTTCTACTGTAAAGTTACGGTTACTTTGAGTTTTCAAATGGAACACCCTGTATATAATATCATTTTATGATTTCTTATCACTTCGTCAACAACTTCATATAGTATGTCCCTATACCTATCTCTTACCGTTTAAGAGATATAAATTAATTTTGATTTTTTTTTCACCAAACATGTACTTTTATAAACACTGATAATCTTGAACTCTCTGGTACTAAGACGATCAAATTCGGAATGGAGTGAAGTGATACCATAAGGATCCTCACTTCGGAGCCATATTTTTTTTGCCCCATACAGGGTCTTTAGAAAATGCGGATACTTTGTTCACATGAAAAAATGAGTGGAAGTCAATTTTTTCAAATGGAACACCCTGTATTTTTCCACATTTTTGAGCTCTACATCCAATTTTAGATTGACTTTGTTCAGATAATCCTATTTCGATTTCGAACCGTTTTCGAGATAAACTGTTTCAAACAGAAACTGACGTTGTTTCCTTGCATTCATCACTTATTTTCGAGATTTAACATCTATTTTATACTATGTAATATTTCTTTTAGATTTAGTTTTTCAACAGTCACCAATCAGTCAATTCGAAAGTGATATGTTCCTTAGAAAAAGTTACAATTTGTATGCATTGAGGTATTGAGTGTCTCTACCGTACAACATTGCAAATTAGTATTTTTTCATAGTGTGCTTTGGAAATATAAATGATCCAATTTTGAAACGTCAAACGTTCGTTGGTGGTTTTGACTGATTGTGATACCAATTATAACCGAAAAATGTCAAGATTAGGTTACAGTAATGAAGATTTCTTGAATTTATTGATACTTTATGGTGAGTGCAATAGAATTGCAAGTAGAACATGCCGAGTATTTCATGAAAGATATCCACAACTTCCGAAGCCGAATAATAATGTGATAAACCGACTTCTAAAAAACTGTAGGTTGAATGGAACCTTTCATCCAAAAGTTATTCGTAGAAAGCCTGAAGTGGATGATGATGACGTAATAACATAACAGTTTTGGGATTTTTTTATGCATTTCCAAATGCTTCTCTACACGAAGCTGAAAGGGAGATAAGTAGACCCTACGTGACAATTTATCGCATTCTTAATAAGCATAAATGGCATCCCTATAAATTTTACTGTGTCCAACATCTGAAAGAGACAGATTTGCCTCGTAGAGTGGAATTCTTTGAATGGTTAGTTGTCAAGACTCAAGAGGATGAACATTTCCTAGACAATATCATATGGACAGATGAGGCCAGGTTTACAAAAAATGGAATTTTCAATAGACACAACAGTCATTATTGGTCGCCAGAAAATCCCCATGTCGTTCGCCAAAGGGGTTTTCAAGAAAGATGGCAATTTAATATATTTTGTGCCATAAAGAATGAGTCAATTTTTTATATCGAGTTTTATGATGATAACTTGAATGCTACAAAATATGAAGATTTACTGAGGAATGGAATTCAAATGATTTTAAATCATAGGCCAGGAAGAGAACGTGTATGGTACCAAATGGATGGTGCTCCACCCCATAATTCTTGTTCAGTAAGTGAAGCTTT